GCATATATATATGTATATATATATAAGGAAGCTAATGGTGAAGATGGGTGACGCCATCCCTCAAAGCCCAGGATGATGAATCAGCAGGACTAACAGGGACCTTGAACTGCTGTCTCTCTCTTTTTCTCTCCCTCTTTCTCATATTGATACTGTCTTGCTTGATGCCACTCTTTGTGTAATTAATTTATTATGACCTACCCACTGAGGTATTAGAAAAATTGAGAGAAAACGGAAGGCCTGTCATCCTACTGATTCTGGTGGGGCAAGCAAACGAAGTGTGAGTGACCTGAAATCTTTGGGACTTCTCCAGGAACCACTTTTCTGATAATTTTATGAAAAATGGGTGCAGCTAGCTTTACTGAGATCCCTCTGTGTGCTCCTTTAAGATGCATCCTTAAACACTGGAATATTTTCAGGGGGGTCAACTAATGATAAAATACTCTAATTGATCTAAGATAGAGTTCACTGGAAAATCACCTTGAGTGAAGAAATGGTAAAAGAAATCATGGTTAAACTTATATATTAATGCAACAAGTGCTCATTTAAATTCAACTATAACGTTTATGTGTTATGGGGAAAATACGGAATCAGTGAAAAACAAACATGGATGGAGTATTAGAGTAGTATTTGGTACAGACCACTATCCATCTTTCCTGAAAAGAAGAAAATAAGAAAACCTCCTTTAATAGACTTTTGGTCACTTAAGCAGTTGTGAATGGTTCTAATAAGAATATTTTACTCGTTTCATGGACTGACATCTTTTTCTTTCTTCCCCTTGCTGCTAAAATCTGTGCTGCTGGAAGGAAAAAGCAAGGAAGATAGATAGAGCAGACACGAACACTTTATCTCTGGAGCTGCACGCAAGCTCTCCTTCTGTGAGCAGCCTCGAACCTCCTCCATGCAGAGCAGGATTTCACCTTGCCTCTCACTGCCCAGATTTGCTGAGCCTCCAGGGAAGCCTGCTGGAAGAAATCCTCTCACCCTTCCCTCTCTCTTCCCTTACAAACTTTACAGCACTGCTCATCCGAATGGGAAGCAGCTTCTTTCTGCAGCACACAGACCTCTTCCATTAAGCTTATGTTTGCAAGAACTAGTTTCACAGTCACCTTTAAATAAATATTTGTTTTGCCAATACCTGTTTTCACCTTAACAATGTCTCATTTTTCAAATACATTATTCTTTTAGGTTTCAAGTTGTCAAGGGTTGTACAAAAACTGTTCCAGCATTGTACTTTGTACCAAACGTTAGGTATGCAAGCATTGGTACTCTCTATCTATACTAACTTGATGTATGTGCAATAAATAGGCACACTAGGTATGCTATACCTCATAAAAACAGTGATGAGTAGGGTCATCTTGAAAGTGATGGCTCTGTCAATTTTTCTGTGCCTGTATGATATGGTTCCCTGGCTTAGATGATAGGGATAGTCTTTATTCTGGAAGGAGATTCCAAATACAGGTTACTTGGCCATGCTTTCTGTCTAACTGTTATTTCCTCATGTGAAACATACGTCCTTATTAGTTCACTGACGAAGTTGAACTGTAGTACCTCAATCTTTCTTCTTCAGTTATAAAATTGTAATGTAAAATCTTGTCACCAATAAAATAAGCGCACACCTCACGTTTACTTTTTTTTGTCAAAGTCCTGAGTTAATTTCCAGTATCAGAGGTCCATTAGCAGCATGTACATTCACAGGCACATAAAGTAACTTTCCAAAGTAATTACATAAAAGAAGTAGAATTCCTTCATCTGTTTGTATGGATCAAAGACCTCCATGTATGCTTTAACTTGTCTTTCAAGACTGGGAGGCATAGGAATTTGTCAAACAAGCAGGTGTTGGCCTGCAATTTTTATGGGCTTTAAAAGAAACCAGCAGGATGTCAACACCCTTCCCACCACAACAATATCTTAAGTAAAGCAATTGCACAGTGTTGTTCCAAGGAAACACAGCTTAGCTCACCTGGGTTGAATTCAGTCAGGATCAGTGTTTTACTGATTTCTTAATGACACATAATTAACTGGCAATCAGTGAACCATACATTCAGAATCAATACCAGCAATACAACAGATAAATAAAATACTCAACAATTACTAAATCTTAAGGAGCACCTACACATTTTGAATGCCCTCAAGTGCCCCAAAGTTCTAATCCCACCCCAAATATGTACCCATTCATAGTTACATGCACATGCAACCTCTCTCATAGGCAGTATGAGTTGCCAGCACACACTTTTCAGCCTGCAAACTCTCCTGCCTACCCACATGCCCTTGGGTCCTCTAGGTTCATGCACGTCTCTCCTGCTCCCTTCCCACAGCCACCAGCCACACAGCAATGAGAAAGCACCCTACTAGCTTTACACTCAAGATGTGCACCTCTACGTGCCGCACTCGCTACTAGCCGGACCCTGCTAATGGCACCTGATCTCCCTGCTCCAAGGTCTCTCCCCACAGTCACAAGTTTTCATGCTTATTTTATACTTTTAAAGCTGACTCCTCTTATCTTATTCTTAAAATTCTCCAGATAATCCCCAGGTTACTAATCAACTGTGATGAGGATCATCTGAAGCAAACATCCATTTTTACATTCTTTCTAGCACTATCTGGTTTTAAACAAACACTTTCTCAAAATAGTTTTGGATATTCTGTTCATGCTCACTCATATTCCTATTGTATCAGCCATTGCTACCCAGATCACATTATCAAGAAGGTATTCTGCAGATTCCCACACAATCAGCTTCATAAGACCAGAACTAGAACTCCTCTCCTCACACTGCATTATGAAGGCATATACTATTCCTGGCAAAGGTTATGCAGTTTCAGCTGTCACTGATGTGTTTTTTTTTAAGAGTATATCCTTAATTAGCCTTCAAAAAAAAGAGCAATTGTAAAAGAGGTATCTGTATTTCTGTAAGAGAGAATTTCTTATTTTACACCTACTCACCTTAATACTAATCCTTAAATAGATTCTGACTGTTCAAAGCCAGATAGAACACAGAAAGCAAATTGAACTCGAAAATAAAATCACAGTAGTGAAAAAGAGCATGAATTTACAGGACTACAGTTATTTTTTTTCCCAGTATGGCACTTCACTAGCAATCATTTAATAGATTTCTTAATTACAGATGGAGTTATCACCATTATCACTAATAAATCTACAAATAGCACTGAAGATTCTAAGATCCTATTATGTACTATGTTTGTTGCAATCAGGTTCAGTAGGTTGGGAGTAAAGCCGTCGCAGAAACTGTAGTCTAGCCAGGGTAAAATCCTTCTCCTACATCCTAACACAGCTAATGAAGGGCACAGCAGACTCCAATTATTTACAGAGTGTTTGAAACACTGGCACAAATCCCACGGGCATCTCTGCCTTGCAGAAAGCCTTCCAAAGGAATGCTCCATCACAGTGTGGCATGAGAAAAGCGCATGGCTGAGTTGGCAATGTGGTCCTTTACTGCCTGGAATAGGTTGTACTACCCAGTGAGAAGGGGGATATACCCCATCAACAACATGCAGATAAGGTCCATCGATCATTTCTGTCACTATTTGGGAGGGGAAAGAGGAGAGAAGGAAATTCCAGTACTGTTCTTCAGACCTAGGCCAAAGGGATAGACACTAATACTGTTCATACAAACATATCCCAGCATGTCATGACAGGATGTACTCTATCTGCTGCAGTTACTGGAGAAAATGGGGGAGGTACCATGATGCCAAGTAACTAAGCTGTTGAAGCAAAAGGAAAATTTGTGCTAAGCCATTGTTTTAGTCTCCCGTTCTCTGTTCTTTTTCACAGTTATCTCTTTCTGCTAGTTTGATTTTATGACAAGCAGAGCACTGTTAAAGATTAAAACATAAAATTCTTGGATGCTTTCTCCCTTCCAAAAAATGTATAGCTACCCTCTCTTCTAATTTCAAAGAAAGATAAGAATGAGTGCATTTCTTCAGACTGAAATACGAGTAACTAAAATGTCATTATCCCATTCTTTGGCTTGCACTCTTAGCAGTACCACAGCTGAACCACTGCAAAATACGCTCTAATTCGTCACTTTTATTCGTCACTTTTTATGTTAAAATAATTTTACTGATTGCCATTTTCACATCTATATTTACACGTCTCCTACCAAGCACAATGGACAATTCTTGGTTGCACAGCAGCTTGTGTTGGCTTACACATACCAATCAGCATTAACCACGACGGTGTTGGTGCTACTAAGCCTACGAACCATGGTGCTCCGGGCAAACTGCCAAAGCCAAGACGGTATCAGATAAACATTCTTTCTTAAAGAGCACCCAGGAAGTATCTCAGTCCGATGCAACTTGGTTTCCAAAGAACCCTCTGGATTCTGAACAGGTATTGCAGCCATCACCTGATTAGTGTGAAGTTTCTTGCAGTTCTGAACATAGATATGTATAAAGGATTCTCCTCATAAAAAGTCAAAAATATTTTATGAGGCAAAATTCTTATATTGGTTTATGAAAAAAAATCTGTTACATATGCCTTATATTGAATCAGAATAAAACCGTCTTATCTTGTCCTTTATAAAAGGGATATTTTAATAGCTGAAACTGAGGCATCAAAATCATACAAAAATCTAGACAGAGGGACCAGTGGTGGTCATCTAGTCATATCCCCTGCTCCAAGCAGGGTTAACATCAAAGTGCGCTCAGTCTTGTCTACTCAAATTTTCAACATCTCCGGAGATGAAGAGTCCGCTATTCTTTAATGATAGCATTTATCTGCAAAAAAAAAGTCTGCTTAGTGAATAGTGTCTGAATATCTAGTGCAATAGTGTCTGTGAGGGAACAGAGAGATTTTTTGGACTGCCCTAGATGGCTCATCATTAATTTTAACTTCTGCACTATTTGTAAATACATGGCTGAAGATTGGAGACTAATACAAGGTTGCAATATATATATATATATATATATTTGCCTTCAAATTTTATTCAGCACTCTGGAAAATGGCAAATCCCTGACAGCCTTATAGGCTAGGGGTGATAGTTTGGAATGTCAGTTATTGATGTGTCTTGTAAAGATGAAGGCGGAGAAGAGTGTTTAGACAATGCCCTAGACAAGAGTCTTCCTGTTCAGGTTTTTAATGTAACTTTGGCTTGTTAAAGTGATAGAGAAAAAGGGAAATTCAAGTGTGAATGCTCTCTCATGCACATTTCCCCAAAAACCTAACCTCCTTCAAGGATTTCATGTCTCTTGCATCCTTCACCAGCTAGAGTCACACCTCATATTAATTTAGATTAAAATAAGAATTCTTACTTCTAACAAACCTCTTCAGGAAAACAAATTTTTCTTTCTGCAATTAACACTTTTCTCTCAAACTTTTTGTTAGCACAGAACACCAAGTGCATAGATTTTCAGGCACATACACATTTTTAAAAGAATCAATGCTGAAAGTCAATAGTTCTTATTTTCTGACATAGCAATTCAAGTTCTCATTTCTAATGTTTTCCTTTGATTTGAAGTTTTCCTTTAATACTAGTTACAAAAAAAATCCCTTTTCATATATGTTATACATGCAAATGATATCTTAAGAATAATATCACTTCAACCATTTTCAAACATTTTGATTACTACCGTTTTAGATGGAATGTATTATATTTAAAAAACAAAATTGTTTTAGCTTTCCTTCTGCCATTAACCGTACAATAAACATTGTCTTTGCAGTCAAATCCACTAACTAAAATACACAAATTATCACTGAGATTGCTTACAGCTGACACAAATGTAATGAGACTGCAGTCAATCTTGTTACTATTTTTTTCATTTTACTATGTTTTTTATGCACATGACTAAAAGTCTCTATAGATTCCAAGGAAAATGTGTAGAGATGAAAACCCAATTGTCCTTTCATTATCTCACTATTCAATGAACAAGGTTCACTTATGTTCTAATGAGGTTTTCTATTTCTTTTTTTTCCACAGAAGAGTGTGAATTAGTACTCCTGAAGATGCACATTTTTGATACCTGTAACAAGGCACTTTCTTTAGTCCACTGGAGTTTGCAACTAACAAAGATCTTCACTGATCATGACAGGGGACTCTTCAAACAGAGAGTCATTAGCAGCAGGATTTTCAGAGACTGATCTTGGGCAATCAAATAGACTGAGGTTTTTAGAAACCAACATTAAATATCACAGAAAAATCTAAAATTTAGTTTATACTATACAAGTTCCACTTTCTCCCTTTTTTATGTGTAAGTAGTTATGTCTCACTACATCCATCCATCCATCCATCCATCCGTCCATCCATCAATCTATCCATCATACACATTGAGTTAGCACTAAAATTTTAGGTTTTGTCTCTTTCCTTGATTGCATACTACCTGCATTTTGGTAAATACTCAGACTCAGCTTGGCTGCATGCCAATGAATTTCCCAAATGCGGAAGCAGGGACATGCAGAAAGTTGTGATTGCACTTCAGGTCTTCTTCTACAAAAAATATATATACATGAATACAACAAGATTGCTTTTATTGGATTTTCCATAATCTTTCAAAGTTATCTTAATAAACCTGAGAGGCACATGGCACATTAGGCCACACACTAAACCCTTTCATTGTGTCCCATGTGCCCCATTCTCTACCAAAATCTTAATTTTCAGGAAGGCTTTAAAATACTCCTTTTATGTTTAGGGTAGTTTCTCCCACCACCACCATCATGTGTGCCTAGAGAAAGACTCACAGGGAATTTGGATTCTTGTGAATGCATGTTCAATAGTATCTTTTCACAGTATGCTGCTTTTATATGAGAGACAGACCAGACAAACTTTAACCATACAGTTGAGTACTACACATTAAAAATTAAGAAACTAATGGAGGATAAACTACATGCCTGACAATGCATTTAGCCTTCTTGAGAAGGTAGCCAGATGTTCCCTTCTTTGAGAAATTAATTTTTATTTTAGGGTGGTACCATCCACCATCACACTGAGGTCCTACACTTCCATGTTGCTGGCTGGGCCTCCACAACCAACCTCCACAAAGGTGCCTAGAGCAGCCAATGGGGGACACATTTCAAGCTGCATGGCAAAACTCCTAAGATATTAGGAGTCCACAATAATTCCCTTGTCCCCATGTGTCTCAAATGAGCCTAAGATAAGAGTAATAAAGGTGATTAGAAGGCAGCAGTGCCCGAGGATTACAGAAAGAAATCTTGCTGAATAAAAACATGTCACATCTTCAGTGACTGGCTGGAAAACCCAGCTTTGCTTTAGCTGTTGCCCACTTGTTCACCAGCGCAGCTACAGGACACAGTGCAACTCTCCACCACAGCGTACGTTGTTGCTGCTGCTTGGGAAAGAGAACACACGAGTGGACATGCTTGAAGTGATGTGGGCTTATGACAGCACTCGGGTAGAAACCAAGTACCACTTTTCAGCATTTCCATACAAGTGCTAATTCAGTTCTCTAAGACACAGCCTTAGTGGTGAAGTTTTAGTGTGAGCAGGGTCCTACTGATGTCTGCAGAGCCATAAAGTATGTTTAGTAGTAGGGACTAAAAGGACAATTGGTAACACCTGCAGGAAGCAGAGGTGCTGTTCCATCAACCTGAAAGGTATGCTTTCTATTAGGATGAGGATGTATAGCACAAAGCTTCCCTCATCTGAGTATCTCAAAATCTGTTTTGTGCACATTGCTCCAAATGTTCCTGAAAAAGTAGGATACTGAGGAAAAACAAAATAACAGTGCCATCTACTGTTCCTATTTAACCGAAGACTGTTGAATGAGTTTCTTTTCTCTAGATTTCACAGTGAAATTAACTATGCTTATCCTTGCAGTTACCTGAATCACACTGTTTTTACTGCAGATGTATTTTGATGACAGCACTCTTTAAACTTCTGTTTCTGGCATTCACCAGGAACTGGCTTGCATTTGTTTTGAGCCTGTAGCAACTTTAGTTTGAGCCTAAGACACAGAAGATTTTTTGCAGCTCCCAACTTGAAAAAAAACAATAATAATAAATGAAGAGATGCAAGTTACTGAGATGATTTTTGGGGAATCTGCTACTGAACATTGATGGGCACATCATAAAGTCCCGTTCAGCAGTAGTTCATAAAGGAATGTTTTCATATAACAGAGTTACCCAGATATCAGCACTAAAAACAAAAACAGAGTTAAGTCTTCAAATGTCCCTTATATTTACAAGAAATAGTAATAATTAGGATTTCAAAGATGTCCCCTATTTTGATTTTTTGGCATATGTTAAAAAGAAAAAGGAATTTATTGATAATCAGATTTGCATAGGGCAAGCATTTCATTTCCTCTATTCAGACAAAAACAAACTGAAAAAAATCAGCTCTGAATGCTTCCTTCAGAAAAAAAAAATCTACAGTACCAAATATTCTGCATTATGTTGTCTTCCTCAGCTTCTTTTTAGGATTTTATTTTCTAGCCTATCATCTCCAGTAGTGACCAACTTCTGAGACCTTACATACCTTTAAGTAACCAAGGATAACATGTTTTACCGGAAGAGCTAAGGTGTTAACATTAACAGTTAACATTAAGAGTTTAGGGAGCAGCATAGTACAAATGCTCTGTGCATCCACACTCTGAGTCACATGGAACACACTTTGTGCATGCACTATTGCTTCTCTCCTGAAATAAGCAGAAATAAGCTTTTTACTGTCTTGTTATCCTCAATGTTCAGTGGGACATAAAGTGGGATCACAAAGTAGAGAATTCAGATCATAAGGGTAGAGATCATTCACTGGCTTCTGGGCCCTTCAAAAATTATAAGCCAAATCAGCATCTTGGTAGGTTCAACACTGCAAGCCACTATCTGAGAGATAAAAATTTATTCTTGGCCTTTCTGCTTCCAAAGAGGACAACTTCCATGTATCTGTCTCATCAGTCTAAGTCTACCAGCATCATATCCTCAGGTCAGGAGAACCAAACCAACACCTGCCACATGACAGTCTGGAGCTAATCGAAGACTATGAACAATGTAATGTTAGTGTGCAAAGATCACAAGGAAGCCAACCTCTGCAGAGATCCCTACTACAGGATCAGCACTGCATTCAGTTAAAAGAACGAACAATGGCAACAAATTTGAAAAATATGGATAGAAAACAAGTTTCTGACACAGTCATAGAAAACCATACCTATTGCAAGGAGATGCAGGAAAATTTTCCCTGGGAAAATGATAAAAAGGTTGGTGCATTATTCAACATGCAGTCTCGGGAACCTGCAGCTACCCTGAAACAGAGTCCTGAGAGACTCACCTGAGTACCATGCCATGAAAAGAAAGCATACTGACAAGTCAAGTCTTCAAGGAAAGAGATGTCAGAAGGCAAAACTTCTCTGTAGATGAGGGTTAAGTCTATTGTGGGGCCTGCTGACATTCAAGTCTTGCTTAATTTTGGTGCTTCTTGGACTTGAACCAAGGCAAGAACAAGCTGATGGGGCTTGACCACACTTTTAGGCAACTCTGCCCTCCTCTGTGTTCATTAGCAAGGCCTACAGCTCATCTGGATGTTGTCCACCATTCTCCGTTTCCTTTGCCCTGTTGGAAATGCCTTAAAAGAGGCTGCCAATGGACAAAAAACTCTTTTCTTATGCAGAAGCTAGAAGTTTCTGGTCCCTGTGTCCTGCATCTTGGGAGCACCAAGCAGCACCAGAGTCCATGAGGCTCCCCTGCCATTAGGCCCAGGGCGGGTGCCAGGAGCCATGCAGATGGTGGCCCCGGGCCATGGCTGCGAGCCAGGGGTGGCCTGTCCCATGGGCCTGTGTCTGGGCAGAGGACTGTGATGGGGCCATGTGCCAAACCGAGCAGCACCAAGTGCCAAAATTTTTGTAAAAGGGTTCCAATACAAGTTTCCAAGTGCCCGCAGGGACACCTGGAAAGGCAAAGGCCTGGGGCCTGCCTCCTCCCAGACCTGTGTTGCCACCTGCCACCATTTAGAAAAAGGATGCTCCAAACCGAGCAGCACCAAGTGCCAAAACTTTTGCCTGAGCAAAAGGGTTCCATAGTGCCCAGGGACACCTGGAAAGACAAAAGCCTGGGGCCTGCCTCCTCCCAGAGCTGTGTTGCTACTTGCCACCATTTAGAAAAAGGATGCCCAGAAAATTTCTTCTCGGAGGCAGATAGCAGGAGGTCAGAAATGCAATGGGGTGCACAGCTGGGTAGGATCTGCTTCTAAACCACAGCTACGTGTGTGGTGCCCCATTGGCCACATGGAGAGGACACCTGAAGCCCAGCTCAGCACCTGTCCTGGTGCACAGGACCCCAGCATCACCACAGACACAAGGCAGTGAGAAGCGGGAAAGCTGTCTCCATGGCTTAGTGTGTAGCCCACTTAGGATACAGACAAAACCAAGACTACTTCCCTGATTCCTTCAATATTTACATATTTTCCACAGGGAAGAAAAACGGAAGAAAGGGGAGGGGTGAGAATGGAAAAAAGGCCTGCTTCACATTTCATTCTCCATGAAAAATGAAGACTAGCATATGCCACATGAAAGTGTTGGTAATATCTGCTACCACCTGCTGACAAACACGGTTACTGACTTATCCTAGCCAATCTCATGGAAGCAGCCTGTATTTTGCAATAAAGCTTGCAATGACTGCTCTCTACAGTGCCTGAAGAGTAACAACTATATAAAAATTTTAACACTACATATAGTCATACTATATATACATACTATAGTCATTATTAGCCACTTTCTTATCCACCCAGCTTGTCTGTATGTCAGCTTCACCTCTGACCAGCATATACAGCTCATAAAACACCCACTACATCTTCCATGCACTGAACCAATTTCACATTAAAATATGATTTGCCAAAAAAAAAAAAGAAAAAAAAAGCCAAAGGTTCAGGCCTGGTAATCCGAAACTTTAGAAAAGGTTGTAATGTACATGATGGCAGTAGCAAAGGAAATTTCATGAAAACCATAGCATGGAGTGGCTGTGTAGCAGTATGGCGTGTGATCCAGACCAGGGCAACTCCATTAAGATCATGGAGCCTCCTTGCTTGGCTGATGAACCTGAATTTGAAAGATCTGTTTAAGAGAGGCACATCTTCAAGACAGATGGGTTCTTCCAAACCCACAAGCATTTAGCAAAACAGGAGTGTGAGTGAGATGTGTTGCCCCCTTCCCATTCTCTACCAACCCATTAAAATCTTTTTTCTTTCTTTGGCAAAGATTAGCATTTTTCTCTTGTCTTAAGCTCCTGCCTGGGGCATCCAGATGGTTTATAATCACAAACTCCCAGTCGGGGCTTAACATTGTCTGTTTTCCTCTTTGTATTTTCTCCTGGGGTTTTATCCTAAAGCAGCTGAAGGGTCCAAAAAAAAAAAAATAAAATAAAAAAA